AAAGTTTACAAATTATGTGATATTTGTAGAAGGTTGTAAAATAAATGTACTATATTATTAACACATATGCAAATTTATGAATATTTCAAGGACATGGGTATGTAAACAGGTTCATACAATAAATGAAATAATAAAAGAAAAATGAAGGTTGTTTTTTGAAAGTGTTGATCGGTAGGTTTAAAATAATTGTTAAGATGTTGACATGCAGAATTTTTCCGTAAACCTTGGTGTTATTTGTAAAATTTGAAATTATCAAATGAAAAAAAAATTCAATGGTTTGGTTAGTAATAATTAAATCATATGAAAAAAAACTGATTCAATTTCTGGTGTGTCAGATATGTCTCTGAAAGTCTGAAAGTAAAAGATATGAACCTAATTTAATGGTTGAAAAAACGATAAGTTGAACTATATTATGACTAATCTTGAAACGTTAGAAAGTAGAGGTAAAATATGAATGGATAAATGGCCATTAGTTTGCATCTGGCTTATATCATATGTCGTTGACCTGATTTTCTTGATTCAGCATTGAGACAGAATCTTCCATAACCAATAATTATACAAAATAGTTTAATTGATGAGATGAAATTTTTAGCTTGTGTACATATTATTAGCAAAAAAAGTATGCTCTAGATTGTGTAAAATGCAAAAAGGGGGGTCCTTTAGATAGCATAATTTAGATTCATTAATTAGGTGATGGTGTTAAACGCCACTTTTAGAAATCTTTGCGACCATAATTACGGCTAGTTTTTATTGTGGGGGGGGGGGGGGGGAGCTGGAGTGACCGGAGAGAATCACTAACCTCCGGCAGGTAAACGGGCAATCCTAGTTAATTAAGATCAGCGACAAACGCACCTTGCAACGAGCCGGGTTCGAACTCAAAGCCCCAGTGTTCACAGGCTAATGGTCACCGTAGATAAAGTACTTAGACTATGTGTCCACCGAAGCTCCGAATAATTTAGAAAAAAACGAGGCACATTATAAATACATATATATGTATTGAATTATGGGACTAAAGTGGCTTCAGATGATATGAAATTTTATGAAAAGGGATGACCATTTAATTGTCTCAGGGTGGGATCAAAATGTTGATAATTAGCATTTGCTAGGCCACACTATCACTGTATTGCATTTCGTTGGGCAAAATATTCATTTTTGGGCAAGATCTTTTTTTTTTCCAGGTGTTTCTCGTTTCTCGTTTTTTATCTAGATTAGACCTTTGGTTTTCCTGTTTGAATTGTTTTACACTAGTAAGTTTTGGGCTCTTTATAGCTTGCTGTTCTGTGTGAGCCATGGCTCCGTGTTGAAGGCCGTACTTTGACCTATAATTCTTAACTTTTTATACATTGTGACTTGGATGGAGAGTTGTCTCATTGACACTCATACCACATCTTCTTATTTATATTGGATGTTCATTTCCAAAATCCTCCTCCTCCTCTACAAAAAAGAAACCAAACCAAAGATGATCGTCCCCTTGCATGTTTTGAATTTGTTTTTGCTTAAATTCTGCTTGTAATTTGCGAGAGAATCTGCGTAATTTTTCTGAATACAGTTAGAATGTGATTTTTATACATAATCGTTAACATTTGGCCTCGAGCATCACTGAAGAGACATTGATTGTCGAAATGCGCATCTGGTGCAGAAAAATTGGTACCGTTTATGTTATTACAGTGGCCGAAGATCATTCTATATTCAGAGATAGTGCTATGAAAGAGCCATTTGTTTAAAGGTCAAATGGAGATTTCCTCTTGAAAGTGTCAATGACTTACTATTTATTCCCCCTCCACTCCCCGAAAAAAAAAACTGACAATGACTAAGATAATGAAATTTAGAATTCCTGCCGGAATCCATGATTTTGATCTTTTGAGAAATTTGTAAAATCATTTAAAAATCATATAGAATGATTTATTGTATGGTGAGTTACTTAAACATATGTTTCTGAGAGCTCGATATAGGTTTTTATTAGTGATTGTTATATAGGACAACAGTTTGAACTATGTGTAATAATATTGATATTAAAGAAAGAAACAGAGGTGCTATATATATAATCATTTTGTGTACGTGAATGCCAGATGGTCTGATATTTCCATCTGCCCTATATCATTTGTTTTTGCTTTCTTGATTCAATAAGGTTGTAAAATCAGCTGCAGGTTTTAGTGTGACTATTAATATATGATCTTTTACGTAACTCGTGTTCTACAATGTGTATGCAATAGTTTTTCCCTAAAATAATTGTACGTTTTGACCTCATTTTCATTGGTCATCGATGATGTTAAGTTTTCCTGCTTATGCCACTTTATCAGATACAATAATGTACAATTTATTTTTTATTCCGCTATATTCGGATTTTCCATTTTCTAGCTATTTCTATCTTTAGAAACTGTGGAACTAGTTTGTAGAACTACTTTGTAGAACTAGTTTTATAGTATATAATTATAAATCGTTGTGTTAGTACTGCACGGAGACTTCCCAGTCGCTATTACGGGTAGGGTTCTTTAGTCATATATATAAGTCCGATACTTGTCCTATAGTATGTATCGAGGTGCTCACCGTAACTTCTAAATACAACACGTTTTGCACAGTATAGTATTTACATTATATTGTATTGATTTAGTGTATAATAGCTAGATTCGTGTTTGTTTGGAGATATTTGTAATATTTTATTATCTTTATAAAATGTTGCATCGCACAGAAAATAATAAGTTACTCGGAGTAAAAGTCTTACTTTAAAAACATCGTCAGTTTTCCCGTGTCCAATAAAATGTCCCGATGGATAAAATGACGCATAGAGTAACCCAGAGGCTGTTTATTAAACGAAATTTTATTTAATCCCCAATTTTGAACACTCTTTAACCGATATGAACGGAAAATACATTTCATTTCTTCTAAAATGATGTGATATATATTTTTGTTTGAGCTGCAGGTATAAAATACGAAACGAACTTAGATGTCCAATAACATGTCCCCATAACTGTAATTTGACGTTCACGTCATGATAACGCTTAATTTTTTGCATATTTGGCATACAATTAATGTTATGAAATGATCTGATCTATATTAAATAAAGTTCTTGTTTAAATATGCATCAAAGTAGATCTACATTGTATAAATAATTCAAATATGACGAAATATTTAACTCGGATGCTTGACAAAGACCAGGCTCCGAGGCCAAAAATGTGAGACAAGTTCACATACGATCACAGTCTCACTTTTAGAAAAAGAACATACAGTAAAAATGAAAATGCATCCAAAAATGGGCTCACCTTATTGTTTTCCCTTAGCCAGATTATAAACGACTCAAACCCAAGCTTTACACCCTGACCTTAATTCCTAGCGTTGCAATTAAAGAATCGGAACTATATATGTGAATCAATTTTTCTAGCCAGTTTGCAGAGCCGGGATTTTGTTTTCGTACTTGTATTCTTAGCTCCATGTAGTAGTATAAATATAGAAATGTTTACTGTGAGTAGAACAATCTCTTATCATCTACCTAGCAACATATGTATGAAAAGGAAGGTCACAGTGTTACTTCTAGAAGTAATGTGTGGAATAATGGAGTTTGTTGTCTCGAATCTCCAACAGAATTTACTGCTACATAGGCATGCGATGGACGAGTATTAAAATGTTAATTGAAACTTGTCTTTTACATTAATTTGAGTGTTAGGGTAATAGTTGTCCGATAAATATGATGGATTGCACGCAACTATGTATGTAGCAGGTGCAGTGTAATAATTTAAAGACACTCCCAAGTACATTTTAACCTAGTTTAAGCTCCCTTTAGAAAAAAGTCACCATGCACTCTACCCCATATCTTCCAAAAAAAAACAACCTATCCATATTTCTTGAAAGCGTATATTTTGTGGGAAGTACATCATTGTTTGCATGCATAACCAATTTATAGAAATACTAAAGAAAGAATATTAAATACAATAAATATACTGCATTGAACACGCTGTATGTGTAACAAATTGACACCATAGTGCCTTTTTTACCACTAAATCAACTACAAAATGTCTGCTGTGTGTATCGGCGGTTCTCTCTGATTACTTCGGCTTCCTTCAACAATAAAAATTGACCGCCACGAAATAGCCAATCGTGCTGAATTTGGCGTTAAACACAAATAAATCAATCAACCAATCTACTGTGTGGAAAAGTTCATTTTTGTGTATAGTAGATTTATTTTTTCTCTTCGCAAAACGTCACAAAAATGGCTGGAATATTGCTTTTTATATTTGTTAAAAAAATCAAAAACACTCAAAACCGAAAACCGAAACCCGTAACTTGATAACCCGTTTGAAAACGGTCTAAAAATGTCAAAGAAAATTTAGTGTTAACCAATACCAAGTTATATTTTTAAATTGGAAGCGCTAAAAAACCCAATTCATAGTATAAAACGTACATGAAATGCACTCCTGGTCCTTCCTTTCAGAAAACACTGATCCATGTATATTTACGAAAGCAGCTACTTAAATAGTATATATCTTGTCACAACAAATTGAGTATATTTTTTAAAATCGGTTTCACTCTGCTGTTGGTCAAATATCAGTTGATGTAGCTTTATTTGGGTCTATATAAAAAGGGGTAGAGTTTTTCATACTTTGCCAAAATGCTATAATTTCAAAAACATAGTAAAAAGTATGGATCGCCGACCTTTTTTTAGAGCTTTTAAAAGTTTGTGAAAAATGTTCAGATTTTGTAAGGATTATACATGGGAAATGTAAATTTGTGCGAATATAAAGAAAACTAAAAGATAGGGTATTAAATAATATATATATATGAGAAGACAGCTCTTATAATGTGCTCTCCGAAAGCAAAAAAAAAAAAAAAAAACGGAATCCCATATTTGTTTTCTTATTTCATCACAAAATAGGTAAATGTTTTGTAAATTCCTTTATAAAATAAATTATAAACATTCTGGATTATTTACCTGATAAAACAACCATGATTTAAAAATTTCAATCAATGAAACCTTTTTTTTTAAATGAAAAAGATGTAACCATAAGATAAGCTCATTATTTATTCTTTTTTAATGAAAATTTCACAAATTAATTTCATTTATTCATCATTCAATCTTGCTAACAATAATGGTAAAAATTTTAAATCGATTATTTGTAGTTTTCTGCAATAAAAAAATAATAATCTAAACCCCGTTCTACCTTCAAATATTGAAAATCAACAATGGCAGCACAAGTACACGTATTTCTATTTCATACGTGATGCATATTCCATAAAGTTTTTCCTAAGGGATTTATCAAAAGATATTGCCAATTTTAAACAATTTCCACAAAGTTGTTATTGATGTCAAAATCGTGAACTAATACGCATATGATGATGATTCATCGAGTTAAACCGATAATATATGAAATATGAATTATAACACTAGTATAAGCGACTTTTATTTTTAGAAAAAAAAATGAATACAACGGACCTCTTATGAATAAAGTGGAGATAAAATGAGATTATGAAAAGAAAAATATCAGGCTATCGTCTATCAACATCTTTCAAATAATCAAATTAAGAAGCATTTGAATATTAGCTAAATTTAAAAAAGACAAATTGTGGGAGAGAAAATACCAACATCAACAACGTGACAAAAAGAAACTAATAATAGAAGGGAAGAAACAGAAACAAGAAACAAAGTATTAACAATTTTACTAGCCAAGATTGAAGAAGTTTTGCGGCACAAAGATCATTACTTAATTTTTAGAAAAGAAGAAACTGATAATACAGATATATATGCACATAATATTTTGGAAGCACACTCTTCATAAGAGAAAAACGGTAGTGTCAGTTTTTCCCTGCATTTGTTTCGCTTATTGTATCAAAATCAGTTTTGAAGTTTCAAAACATTCTGGATTTTGAAAATGAAAGACGCTAAATAATATACAAAAAAGATGTTAAATCTTCTCACATACAAATGATTCAAAACGTCAAATTGTTATTCAGTGCTAAACATTGCTGTTAGGGGCAATTTTTCATGAATGTTTAAAATATTTTTTTAATTCTATGGAAATTTGGATATCAATGTTTGCATTTATTAATGCCAACCCCAACATGGAAAAATGAAAATACATAATGAATCGAAGCGACTACGAAAATCTCTGCAAAATAAAGACTTCTTAAAAGAATGTAAATTCTATGGTTACTTTAAGTGGCATTTTCACATAAGTAAAAAGCTTGTATGCTTGAAACGTTCTTTGAAACAACGTCAGCATCCTTGTTTTATTGGGACGTCGTGTAACGCTCAGTGGTACCAATACCGTGCGCAACGTCATAGCGATCTCAAGTACTTTAAATCATGGGAGCTAATAAATGCAATAGGCTCGCAAAATGGACGTTAGTATACAAAAGATTAGATGAAGATAATATCTTGTATATACATGCGGATCAGAAGAGTCATGTGCATAAATGTGCTCCAAAATTATATTTGCACAAAATGAAATGACGGAGACACTGAAAACTTTTCCAAGTGAAAGGGACGTAACCAAACATTTATGGGTTGATATATATATTTTGACGTACAATGAATAGACCCAGCAATTCCTCAAAGGGCTCGCCAGACGTCAGAGCAATCTTGGAATCAAATATCAGTTTAACTTATTTAAATGCCAAGACTGTTATTTTTCATGTCACGGATGTGTTTTCCTAAAATAAAGTTTGAAATAGTGAAGTGTTTAATATAAAACAATATGTATAGTTCGAAATACTAAGGATTTTCTACCCAAGGAATAAATAACCTAGCTCTATTTGGCAATTTATTTTTAAATTTTGGGTCCTCAATCCTCTTTGACTTCGTACTTTACTTGGCTCTTAAAACTATTTGATTCCAGCACCACGGATGAGTCTTTTATAGACGAACCGCTTGTATGGCGTTCACAATTATAAGCTTGATATTTTTGATAATTAAAGTATCTTTATAATCATAATCACAATATGTATGAGATATCTTATTGATTTTAAAAATTATTAATATATTTGAAGCTTAATTAAAATTCAATGCAGTCCTGTTTATCAACGACATTTGAGAAATCGATTCTTTTTAGTACTCTGTATTCTTTCTTTGATGTTTCCTGTAAAATAAATGTAGTGGTGAACGCTTTTTTTCCAATAAAACATTAATCTAAAAACAGTTTAGGAAAAGAGAGGCGGCCGATACCATATGGATATAAGTCGAAGATATAATGACAACGTCATTAGAAAAAAAACGAAAAACGACCAAAAGACAAACAACAATTCACAAAACACAACATAGAAAACTATAGACTGCGTACACAAAAAGGTTAACTATTACAATATGCCAGAGTATCAACTTCATATGGATATTGTTAGTTCTGTTATGACACAACAATGTCCATCGGAAATTCTTCTTTTTGTCGTGCTACTGACTATGACAATTACTTTTGCGATTACGTGGCTGGTGAGGGCTGTATAGCAGGAGATGTTTACCCTGTCAACTCAACTTAATAACTTGTGTTGATGTTCGCCATGTTCAAGAAAACCTGACAGTTTTGTCTTTTCAGTTTTTGCCCGTTCTGAATTTTGGACTGACGTTAGTTTAAGAATACTATATTAATTCTGGACAATGTAACCCGTGCAAATATAAAACGAACTGTCTTATAATCTCTTAGGCTTCATAACAGTGCACGAACTTTGGGTAAATTTAGGAAGCAAGTTTGTATTGTTTCAAAATGTTAACATCCAAAATTGTAAAAATGTTCATACAGATCACTTAATTTTGTCTCTTAAGACTGTAAATGAGATTAGTTTTGAGAATACTCGTTCTCTCCCCACTCCCCTGATAATGCAATTGTTTAAAAAAAAAAATTACTAATAAGAAAATTAAATCACTGGTTTCTAGATTGATATATATTTTCGCTACCAAATACATTTACCTGTTCTTTACGAAGTTTAACATTTTAAACTTTGAACTTGTCCAATTGGTGCAGTTTGTAATCCAAGCTGATTTCCATTGGAGTCGGAACAAAAACATACTGAACCAACACACTTGTACTTTTGGTAGCTGCCGTCATCGGTACAATAGAAGAGTTTTCCGATTAATCCGGTAGCCATATACTCTGCTTGATCACGGGCACATTCTGAAATTGTATTTGTTAAAACCATTCTTAATAAAATGGGAACTCTAGTCAACACTGCAGAAACTAAATATATGAACGAATCAGAATGAATGATTCTAAGAATTGTTATATGTTTTATATGACATGAACAGACATATTGTTTTTATTGGTGTTAATATTGATTTGGTTATAAGTAAATTAAAATCAAACTAAATATTATTTTTATATACATATGCACATTCATGGCTCTACAATCTGTCGATACCTGTATCTTGGCATTGCACAAGGTCATGTTTTTCTTTGACTGTTAATGACGTCTTTACACTTAATCCATTGGATGTTGGATGCGTACTGATTGATATTTTAGTCTTAAATGCATATTTTTTTATCAGTTGTTATTGGCTTTGAACTAGCTGTCAGTAACTGCGAGTACTCTCAAATCTGTACTTAGCGTCTTTTTTGTTGTGGGGATGTACCCTGCAATGTCCGGTTTGTGTTTTTGTTAGATGTATTTCTGCTTTGTATCGATCTGATGAGTTAAGCCCTTTTCAACGGAATTTTATAGTTTGTTCTTATGTTGTACTGTTACACCACTGTCCCAGGTTAGATGAGGGTAGGCGCCTTCAAACTAGTTTAACCCCGCCACATTCTGTATGTGCGTGTCCCTGCCTGTCCCAAGTCAGGAGACCGTAACTCAGTGGTTGTTGTTTGTTGCTATATATCATATTTGTTATTCGTTCATTATTTTGTTCATAAATCAGGCCGTTAGTTTTCTCATTTGAATTGTTTTAGTAGATTTGTCATTTCGGGGCTTATTATAGCTGATTAAGCTATATTGGTTTTGCTCATTGTTGAAGGGCGTACGGTGACCTATAGTTGTTAATTTCTATGTCATTTTGATCTCTTGTGGAGAGTTGTCTCATTGGCAATCATACCACATCTTCTATATTTTTATATGACAGAAGACTGCAAAATTTTCCTCTTTATATTGAAAAATAAAGAAATAAAACAGTAAAGTTCGTTCAATTGACCTATGTTCCATAATCTTTTGACCATGAAAGACTAGTTCTTCAGTTTAAAAACCTATGTATATTTTTTTCCTAATCGTGATGGCAAATTTTCAAAAGAAGAGAACAAATGGGTATGTTAAAAAAAATGAGAAAGGATACCAAATAGGCACTAAAAAACAACAACAAGAGAGAAAAACAATTTTTTTCTTTATAATACGTAAATGGCATTTATAACAAATAAGCCTCGTGTTTCGGACCTGATGGTACATGTACTAAAAACATGCTATTACTTTTGTCTCTCTTCCGGGTGCGATAACTACTACCACACAATAAATGTATGATTTTTTTTTAATATCTTGAAGTATGTAACACAGTTTGAAGAGACAGAGTTTTGGGTAGGGAAAAATTGTTAGTAATAATAGATAAAATCTCATTTTGAATTTCCTCAACACTTATGTCAATGAATGATAATTGTCTCTGACTGAATTTGAAAACAATATAAATTTTACACGAACTATACATTGATTTAGGAGTTCCGTTAGCCCTTAAAGTATCATAATAATGGTTTAGTGTGAAAATAACAAAACTGAATGGTTAGTTATACTTACGACAGGTTTGTCCACTGGACTCCCAAACATTGGCTGTGTAACTATCAATTTTGCTTCCATCTTTCTTTACACAATAACACCTGATAATTGAGTACATTTTATGAAAATTCAAAATGTATATAATAAACCGCATAATGATACTGTAAATTTGGACAGAAGAGAGTTTATTCACCGAAAATAAAACATTGTGATTCATGATATCATTACATTGTACTAATCATTAGTTTTGAGCATCAGAAGAAATGTATTTCGTAAATATGAATGTTAGTCACTTGGTTACACGGTGTGAATCAGTTATGGATGATTAAATATTTTAAAGATATGTTAAGAGTACATTAAATCTCAGTTCCTCTCCTTGCGCAAGAATATAAAAATCAGTTAATGTATTCCCCTTTTACACAGGAATTCCTTTATTGAAACGTGAAGACAAATTAAAAAAAAAGAATCAGACAGTGTCACATTAAAACAGATTGATTGGTCGATTTGTGATTGCTTTACGCCGCATCAGTACAAAAAGGCTATATCGCAGCTATCATTAAAAAAGAATGGCAATCAAAGAAGCAAATAGCTTGACTGTGTTAAAAAAGGACATATTACTAGTATACTTAATTAAAATAACTCTACTGTTCTTACAGTAAGTTCTCTTAAATTGATATCATCAAGATGCTTAACAACAAGTTTATGAATTGATTAACACTCGGGATTCTTCGCCAGAAACATGTTTATTTTTTTTTCTTCAAATAACTCACTGTGAACCAGAACATTGTTTTGGTGAAAAGTTTCCGTTGGTATCACATACTGGTTTTCTAGCTCCTAGCAAGGGAACGCCATTTTGCTGGTTTCCAAGGTATGTTTGAAGCTCGCTTTGACATGAAGATACTGAAATAAGATAGACGAAACATAAGTGTATATTGCAAATACATACATGTACATGTGTACCTGGGTTAATGATCCATCTTAAAACAGGTTCAGTTGTGTTAGATGCCAAACCAGATCAAAATATCTAAAAAGAATCATTGTAACACATCTTCGTTAAGGGTACTATTTGGTCTATAAATTGTAAGAGTTAATTTCATTCTGACATGTTTTTGTTCACCGAATGCTTGAAATAATGAACGTCTACGTCATTTGGTCTCTGTTAAAATCAAATGTTTAAAATAAAATTGTTCACATTCCTGTCCGAAGTCAGAAGCTTCGTTAATGGCTGTCTTGTACTATATCTTAATGTACTTGTTTGTTACGGAATTAGGCGTTAAGATCTTTGATAGTTTGCTGCGTAAAGTTAAATTAATTCATTGCTCATTTAGACTAAAGCTATACATAATTAGAAATAAGAAGATGTGGTATGAGTGCCAATGTGACAACTCTCCATCCAATGTATGAACACTTGTGTACTGCTAAAGACTTAATGTTGATCTATAGATGCCTTTTAATTCTTTCCCTGGGTGGGAAAGTGTCGCGCAGACGTATAATCAACATTATTTATTTGCAAATGAATAAAATTAGGAATATTGTCAAGAATTAGATACATGTTAGAGGAATAATATTAACGATAAGAGCGTATAGGTAACATCGTTTGTTTTAAGGAAGCAAATCTTCTGAAAGGCAATAAATCCCTAACTTATTCATTCTTAAACTGTTTTGATACTTGGTGGTCTTTAACAGCCACTGAAGTAAAGCAAGTGTTCAGGGTTTTATCTTAAGCATGTCAAAATCAAATCATGGTTACCCCTTTTCCTTTCATGCAGTTTAATCAAATTACATGTATAAACATTTGATAAATATGAGTTATTTGTAAAAATAAAATGCACAAATGTATAGGACATTTATATAAAACAGAATTTACAAATAATTTAACAAAAAACAGCTTGCGTTTATCTTTTAAAACAAAAAAGTTATGAATTTCTGTCGAAAGGAAAAACACGTCCACAAATCCGAATTTTGAGCAAATATCTGAAATTTCGACCTCCATTTACTCAAAAAGTAGCACATGATTTTTATTATATATTTGATTAAATCAGGTAAAAAAATAGCCTATATGCAAATTTTCATTAAAATTTCATCATGGGATCAAAACTGTATCGTATGCCCTTAAACTTAGAAAAAAAAAATATAATTTTTTTTCATACAAGTATTGAACAAATTGTTTGTAAATAGCGACGCCTCAATATTATGGGTAAAAAGATAATATATTTTTGAGAGAGTTGAATTCGAAGTGTCGCGGTTTCATAGTTGACAGTTCAAATGCAAATCTCGTGCATATTTTATATTTTTTTAGGGACGTGATAATCCATACTTGCATATAATGTCAATGTCGTCCACATAGTCCAGTGGACTATCATAGTTCATAAGCAGTCTATTTCTACTAAAAATATTTGCCCTTCTCCTTAAATAAACGTATATATTACGCAGTTGACGTATGCGTTTTCAAATTTACCATTATAAAATATATTCAAAAGTTGGGACCATCTTACAATTAATTGGTGTCATATTCCTATAACATTGTCTAAGTTATGACATGTTTGATAAATCCACCTCAGACAATGTCCTAGTATTAAGACCGCTTCGATAAACAGGCCCCTGTTCACAACAACAGTGTTATAGAATGCAGTTGAAAACACTTATGAAAGTTATGTTACACAATAAATAATAAAAAGCAGAGATAGAATTTTTCGCCAAATAACATGAAAACATACTTAAACAAAGTAAACTCTACGGAAGCGTATTAGCGCCACACAATTTTATTTTTTATAATTTTCTTCCTATCTTTGCGATATAACGCAAACCTTTGCGATATAACGCAAACTTTTGCGAAATAACGCAAACATTTGCGTTATAACGCAAACCTTTTGCGTTATAACGCAAACCTTTGCGTAATAACGCAAACATTTGCGATATAACGCAAACCTTTGCGAAATAACGCAAACCTTTGCGTTATAACGCAAACATCTCGATTTCAATTATTCATTAAGTTTTGTATATATGTCCGTCTGTCATTAAATTTCTGTTGTGATTTAGTTAGGAAAAGAACCATAAATACAAGACAAAGTCATTATAATAAATATGCATAGGAATCAGAAAAGTATATAATTAATAAAGAAAATAGAAATTTTATAGGCATATTTTATTTGAAAGGCCAACATTTTTAAAATTTTGACTAAGTAGATAAGTACAAGCAAAAATAATGTCATTCAATTGTAAAACTGTCAAGTCAAATAGACAAAATGATCTTTCTGCTGTAAAATGAATTATTAAGAAAGATTTTTTTCTTTTCTAATTTTGATGTAAGAAATCGTTTTTTTAAATCTCAGAATATGATAAAGATTCTTTGATAAAAAGTCATGAAATTTTCAATCTAGTGTGGTAACTTGATAGCAATTTAAATGAAGAGAACATAATTTTATTAATAAAACATCTTCATTTTATTCATTTATTGCAAAAGGGTAGTTAACCAACCTTACACAATCCTCAAACGAGAGCTTACTTTGGAAGTATATTTATATTCGGCTATAGCTATATTAGCAGGGTTGTTTTTTTTCTTCGGTATAACTTTAATTTACTCAATTTTCATTGTAATATATGTACATGTATTATCATGTATATCATTTTGGGGGGGGGGGGGGGGGGGGGGGGGGGGTGCACTTTATAGCTTGATGTTCGGTGTGAGCCTATGCTCCGTGTTGAAGACCGTACTTTGACCTATAATGGTTTACTTTTACCAATTATAACTTAGATGGAGAGTTTTCTCATCGGCACTCAAACCACATGTTCTTATATCTATTATCCTGCTCATTATTAGTTAAATAGTAAAGCATTTTTTGTTATTTCGCAAAGGTTGCGTTATAACGCAAACGTAGGAAGAAATATAAAAAAAAGTTGTGTGGCGCTAAAACGCTTCCGTAAAACTCGGCATGATTTAATTGTTTTACTTACATGGTTCAGGAGCAGCAAGAGATTTACCTAAGAAACAAAATAAACAAAGAAAATAAACAGAGATTCCAAAGATTCGCACCATGTTTACGTATACGTCAGTCGTGCTTTAACGTGAATGTTAATGATATAGAATGGAGGTTATACATGTATATAGATATACAAGACATGTGACATTTTGGTATCGACAACGACATTGCCTTATCAGACATCTGCAAATGACTTTGGACTTAATCAAGTAGTCACCTGTCGGAGAATTACATAATTACACGTACACAGTTATACATGTACATGAAGCTATACATTATTTTATCACGTTTTTATAATTGTAAGCATATAGACGATATGTTTTAGTGTCATACATCCTGTTTTGAGCAAAATACAGTTACAGCTGATATACAAGGACACTCAACACATATTGTATTTATTCATTAATTGCTCGAGTTCTGAATGATTTGACCGGCCGAGACATATACTACAAACGAGTCTTATTTTTTCTGTACGTAATATGAAGAATGACTTAAAAAATGTATGTTTGTCAACTAAATCTGTGACAGATGCATTAAACATTATAGATTCGCACTATATTTCCAGTTACATACAAGTGTAATGGTAACACAAATTGAAGAACGTGAAATAAAATATTTAAGCAGATTAAAGTATTGACTTACCATGGACGCAGGTAAATGATTTGGAATCACAATGAGTCCCAGGTTCACACTCGGCAGTAGAAGGTGCTCCAAGCAGGAGAAAATTAAAACAGCTTTTTCCTTCAGCTGCAAATACAAAATTTACACTCTTCTGAAATTAAGAACTTTTCAAAACAGTAGCACACTTATTTAAGTACAAACTAGTTGTCCTCATTAATAGCAAGCTTAAATAGAAATCTTTAAAATAATTTTTTTTTTATAACAAATGGACATCACATTGTAAATTTTAAATGGATGATGTCTATATATCGGCTCTTTAATTAAAATACGACTCATGTAAAATTATTGTTCCTTTGAATAAATTCATTCATAAAGGTTATCACTATAAAAATAAAAATTGTTTTGATATTTTCAAATAGTGTTTTATCGGTACTCACATCGATTTATTCTAATATTTTAATACATAACAAAATATATTTTGCTATCCTTGTATTAATGCTAAAAAAATATCTTGAAGATTCTTATATCTTGACATTACACAAGATCGCTGCAATGACTGCTTATGACGTCTTTACACTAAATTCATTTGAGGTGCATTGATTCACGTTTTAATCTGGCATGGAATAGCAGGTTTTATTTATTAGTTGAAACGGAGGTTTGTATTAGCTTTATAACTGCGAGTACTTTTAAATCGGTTATTTGTGTCTTTTGTTTATTTGATATTTGTTTTTGTGCGTTGTACTGATCTGATGAGGCAAGCATTTTCCAACTTATTGTTCTTTTGTTGTGTAATTACACCACTGTCCCAGGTTAGGGGGATGTTGAACGCTCACAAACAGGCTCCGCTTTATTTTATATTTGCCGGTCCCTAAACAGGAACCTATAATTCAGTTGCCTTTAGGGGCTGTCATATGTTATAGATGAGAAGAAATCTGGAACAAAACGGCCAATAATGGATAAAACAGTTATTTAAGGCCAATAACTCCAATGAACAGTCAGGTGACAGTTTATCTGACATGTATGCATGATATTTATTTGCATATCTTGCCTGATGATCATTTCTGATATCAACAATTTCCCAACCTCTAAAATAGATTTTAAGAACCGTTCTTTGATAGCAGTTACTCGAATGCGGAGTTCTTTTTATGGTTCAGTTATTTGGCATTATAGTAGGTATTTTATTGTTGATCACTTTTGTTGATTCCGTCGTGCAACTCAGCAAAAACTTCAATCTGCATTAACGCTCTTATCACTCTTATGACATTAGAAGAAAAAATAAAGAAACATATAGGCAAGTGAACATTCCATTTTAAGGCTTCATATTTCTAAACTGTTTTCAATATTTAAAAAAAACCTTGTATCAAACAAATGTCGATATTTGAGATCTTCATTCGCATTGAATTCGCAATGGTCCGCCTATCTCACTTTAAAGGTATACTTATAAAATACACGGAAACGACAACCATCTAATCATACATGTAAAAGATCATGTTACTATAATGCATTTTATAAAAAAGCCATCACATATCTGAATAAATATGAAACGCCTTGAAAATGATCACAATGTAAGAGGTTTCTTTCTCACAAGGATGCTTTATTCATGTGTACATGTAATACGTATTCTGTGACATTAATCAATAGTAGATATATCAAATTTTCCTTTAGATTAATTTATCCCTTGAACTTTGCAAATGAATACGAACACGACATGTGGTAGATATAAACGAAATTTTATCTTCAAGAGTACTTTTGAATCTATCTTAAGATAAAGAAAACCTGTTGGAATTATAATTATTCCTATAGTTATGCTTCAGAATAACATTGTTTTGGGTATCAACATACTAATTACAATTATAAACTAGAGGCTCTAAAGAGCCTGTGTCTCTCACCTTGGTCTATGTGCATAGTCAATGAAGGACACTCTTCGACATTGTATACAAGAATATAATTCATTAGAAAAATCTCTGTTTTGTTGATCTTGTATTGCTGATCAGTAAGTCCGTTTAGGTTCTCTCTATCTTCATTAGTTTTTGCTCAAAACACAAATGAGGGTGAAAAATCCACATTTAAGGGCAATCACTCCTATGTAGAGTGACAGACAGTCTACTTACTATATCAGCAAAATTTGACTTGTTAGTAGATCATGCCTTGTTTATTATTTTTGTGATTTCAAGTGTCTATTTATCTATAATAATTTTTATCATATAAGGCAAAACGCAAAAAAATGGTGAACATCGTCATTAAAGGGCAATACCTCCAATAAGGAGTCTTCGGACGATTTCCTACATATTGTCTAACGATTTCCTACATATTTTCTAAACTGTAAAACTTGTCTTGCTGATCATTTTTGCTTATTTAAGTTTCTATCTATTATAATTTATAAGATATAAGGCAAAAAACGCAAACATTTAGTAAAAATCGTCATCAAAGGGCAAGCACTCTAATAAGGAGTCGACTGACAGTTTCAACCATGATACTTATTTGTAGAACTTGTTTTGCTGATCATTTTTGCAATTTGAAGTTTCTCTTTATCTGTTATAGTTTTCAAGATAATAGGCAAAATAAAAACAAAATGATAAAATTTGTCATTTAAGGGCAATAACTCCCATAAGAAGTCGTCTGACAGTTTTGACGTCTTTTAACAATTGGTAGAGCTCAACATTCTGAACATTTTTGCTCTATTTGTAACAGTTTTCAAAATAATAGACAAAACTTGCATTTTACCCCTATGTTCTATTTTTAGCCTAGTCGGCCATCTTAGTTGGCAGGCCGGGTCATCGGACACTTTTTTCAAACTAGATACCCCAATGATGATTGTGGCCAAGTTTGGTTAAATTTGGCTAAGTAGTTTCAGAGAAGATTTTTTGTAAAAGTTAACGACGGACGACGACAGACGAAGACGGACACCTAAGTGATGAGAAAAGCTCACTTGGCCCTGTGGGACAGGTGAGCTAAAAAAGGAGTCCACTAATGATGCGCAAATGTGAAAGAAAAACGTCCGCATCAAACACTTTATAGTCTCGTGAAAATATTCCTAATACTATATATTAACTGTAATTCGCGCAGCACTTTCAATACGCCACCAGCTTCTAACTTTGGAACGGAATGTGATAATTTCATATTCAATGGTGAACACTTATAGTAAATTTTTACAGTCAAATTAGAATAGCAAATTCCAACACTTGTTTTTATCAATATCTCTTAGTTCCGATTCATTGACGACATTGGCATGCAATGGATTAGTACTGACCAAGAATTTAATGTGTTCATTCAGCATGCCAACAACGCCAATTCTCAATGACATTCACTTATGAAATATCTAAGATCACACATTTCTTGACACTGCTACACAAGTGAAGGATGAAATCATATTGAAAGATCTGTATTGCAAGCCCACAGACAAACATTTATTAATTTCTTCCCCTGAATTGTCATCCAAAACACTGCACCAAAAGCATTCCTTACAGCCAGGCAATCAGAACTAAGCAGATTTACTCAACCAATGATACTTTGACAAAGCGATTAAAAGAACTTCGCATGAAAACCGGGACTACAGAAGAAAATATAATGGATAGAGGTTTCTCTCGTGCTAACAACATCAGTCGAGATAAACTTTTGCGGCATAAAGAGAAAAAGGTTAACAAAAGAGTCCCATTTGTGTTGAATTACCATCTTTAATTTGACAGATTGTCATACCTTTTCCGCGAAAATTGGAGCCACCCGTACTGGCTTTCTGCAGGCCAAAATGCCGTAGCGATTTGCTGAGGAGAACTGATTTATCTAAACCAGGCTCTTTGTCAGCAGGCTCTTGCAAGGGTTGTGGGAACAACGATGTCTTACTTGCAAGCAAATAATATATACCCTGACTTTCAACTGCCACTCCATTTGTACAAAATACACCATAATTTGCAGTGTTACTAGGACTACAAATACTGTGTATCTACTATAGTGTAAATGTGGTAAACAGTATGTTGGTGAGTCAGAACAGCCATTTCACAAACGTATAAATTGTCATCGTAGTGTCTATAAATGTACGACGAACCTAGCGTCTCCTCAATCAACATTTGAGAACCTCAGACCACACCAAGGCATATCCCAATCGACTGAATATTACCATAATTGACCATAACACTGTTTGGTCTAGGAGAAAGATTCACTCGGAAAAGATTTTGGATAAGAAAATCAAATACGTTGGCACCAAACGAGATCAAGGAAAATGTGTAGTTTAAACCATGCAGTGCCATCCACAGCAGCTGGATGTGCTGTTTCATTTAGGATGTATACATACACAGCCTCGTCTATTGTAAATACTTAATTAAACTTCCACATTTTAGATTTGTACAAGTGTTGTTATGTTTTTAATTTGTATAAGTAACAATAACGTGCAAGATTTTCATCAACATAGATAGATAAGACTCCATACTGATGAAGAATATCTGTTATTCGCAATATTTATTTTTTGTATAAAAGAGGACATTTAGCACAACAACAGATCTGCTAACAAACGATAACTTTTGTTCTTCCTAAAATGGGCGTGGAACCTCGTGGCAACCCCACCTGCACTGAGACTACTCAACCAACTAGTCTATATAAAATATAGCCTTCGTTAGTCGAGAAATGCCTTTCCTCGTCTGTTTTAACTAGAGTTGTAACACAGTACATTGTATATAGTGGCAAGTAGATGGTATACCTTGCAGATCAGTTATTTTTTGTTTGTCGTAAAGTATGATAATTTTACTTACGATGCAGTCACATAAATATTAGTTTTATTATGTACGTCTAAGTGATATGCGACAACCTTACTTACGACAGACGTTCCCTATCGGATAACCTAAGTATGATTATACAGGGCTAACACCATAATATACTTCGTATATATCAAAATTGGGTTTGTTTGTTGAGAAACAAAGTGGAGGCTGTGAAAATTCGGCGCATGATTTAACCATTTACCACAAAAAATACTCAGTTCAGACTTAAAGATAAAAAAAATTCATGTTGACAATGTATTCTCACAAGGTGATTAGATACATTATGTAAGTTTTATTGTAATTAACATGATCGTATACTTATCGACATTACACTACTAATATTCATCAATATATACAGTTGGAATAACAAGACTGTAGTAAAAAATTTCTTTGTCAAATTGATACAATTCGTTTTTATAATAAATCTGTCAGTTGGTTATAAGTCCTAAACTAGCGTGAACCGCAGTCATCTTTATCTTTACTTTTGATATATAGAGATATATAACTCTTTCTCTCCGATTTCAACGTGAACACTCCTTTTCCACACAAAGAAAGGGATAAAGCAGGCAATTGGCAATGTTAATTAATGAATATAACATAACAATCGCCTACAGAATCACGTGACTAATTGAGGAAGGACAAGCCTTTTTAACGCAGACTGATTCAATAATCAAGCTTTCTATTTCCCTAATATATATATATATGTCAGTGAAACAACACACTTTAACATTATTTCCTTTAAAAACATTAAATTCTATTATTTCCTTTAAAAAAAAAAAAATTCTTCCTTGTTTACAAGGACATCTTGTGGATATTTTCATTTAAAGATAACAATTGATAAGGGCCTATTTCGCTTAACTGCTATCTGTGACCACTCTAACAGATTACTCCGCAATTGTATGACTAAATTACCATTTAATTTAAGTGTTTTTAGATTTCCTAGGTTTATCGTCTTGAAATTTAAAATACTGGGCCGTTCAGGATTTAAAATTTCTTCATCGTCTTTGTTTTTAGCAGATACGTAATTTTGTTTTATAATGGCCCTCTATATATACCTTTCCAGCTGCCAATTTGAATATAAATAAGAATATATAGTATGATTGTCAATAAGACAACTATCCATCATAGTCCAAATGGTGTGGGTTTATGTTTAAATTTATTGCACATCGTATATCCTTCAACATTGATCAAAACCCATACCGTATAGTTAGCTATTAAAGACCTCGACATGACACAATATGAAACAATTCAAACGAATAACTAACGGATTATTCTTTAAGATTCCAACTCGCCATGCAGTATCAGAGAGGATGTAAACAATAATTTGCTGGTGGATTTCAGTAGAGCTTTATGGCATACTAATCGTCCGGTTTGCATTGGCACCAAACTTACACGAAATGTGGAATCTCTTAATTACATTTACAAAGCGTCAACTACTCGTCAAGAACTAGGTTTAGAATGGTTTTCCTCGTGTTTCAGAAAAATAAGAATACAAAATGGAATCTGTTGTTTTCATTCGGCACAGAATGAGAAATTCACAGAAAGACACTGTAAACATTATTGTGGTCCAGTTTGAACGAAGTTAGTCAAGTGGTTTCAAATGAGATAATGTGCTAACACGAGGATCATTGTATTACATTTTCTGTGTATGCTATTGGGATAGTAATTGCTTATACTTGCCAGCAAACAGCGAGGACTATCGGCCTACATTTTAATTTTTTTGTATTGGCTTAACGTTTAAAGAGAATTAATAATTTGTAGCTCACACAAGCCGTTCAATTACACTTTTGTTCAAAGCATAAATTAATGAAATGATTGTGGTTTGAACGAAAACAATTCAAAAAATTCTCACGGTGTCTGAATTTAATAAACATATCAGTTTTTTCCACCTTTTTAAAAAATTAAATTTCGATAACTTGCTAATGACGCATTTTTAAGTCGAATTACATACTTTATATACAACCTTTAAAATATTTGACTAAAAGAATGGTTTCTCAATCTATGTGTGTGATATAAAAGCATAATAAGTACCTATATGCTGTATACAGGCATCACAACATCCGCAATACCCTCCATTCTTTGAAATTCTTCCAAGACAATTTGTTTCTGTTACAGCGGCACATCTTACAGTCATACATGCATCTGGTGGACACTGTATCAAAGCCTGCGAGGACACCACTAACAATAAAATAACTATTAAGGTTTTCATTTTCCGTGTCGACTGTTCTATTTGTTTAGATAAAATGACGCATATCATTGACTCATAGATATCTTATACTGTCTGTCAATTGTTACGTGGGATACAACAGATTTTGCAGTCATTTTGGAATTCCATGTTGTAAAGGGACGTGTTTTATTTATAACTAAAAGTTCTGTTGTTAAACAAGTGAAAAATTGGAAATAAGACAAATTGAATAAACATATGTAAAATGTTCCGCAACGAATCGTTTTAAATGACTTATTAATAGATTGAAGTCGTTTTTTTTTATAATTTTACGTTCCGTAATGTGCTTCAAACAGGTTTATTGTGGCTTTTATAAAGACAAAATTAAGAATTCCTGCAATTGTTTTCTGATCAGACCAACGAAAAGAAAGAATGCACCTTCTGCTTGTTACAGAAGCAATACTGCTGCAAAATGACATCAGTGACATCGCTATATCGATTCTTTTTTCGTTGACTTCCATAGGTATTGCAAGACACTACACAGCTAGTCATTAAAATAAATATAAGTTTCAGAAAATCCAAATAGTTAAAGTTTGATTTAAAAAAAAAATTGTGCTCAATGTAATTTATAACGACTTTTTTAATATTATGTCGTGATTTGTGACTATTTCCGGACAGAATTTAACAAAGACTATATTTTAAGTATGTACCTAAACATGACAAATAATAAGATGATTGTCAATAGACTTTGCTCGAATGCGGCATGTCTTCAAATTAGTCGCCAAATACAGTTGAAAAATTGGGATTGGGGTTGGTAAATTATGACAAAAAAGTCACGTTTCTTTCCTTTACTTTGTCCAATAAATTATATGCACACCTCTAATCATCTAAATCTTCCTCTGCTCATATTCTTTTAAGAAAGAAAAGAAATTAATGTATATTCTATAAACCTTCATGAACCGATGATTTTAAAGTTCATCAAGCGGAACGAAAAATTGTATGAACAAATGGAGATGTGGGGTATACGTCAATGAGACAACAATCCAACGACAATAAATCACAAAAGGATATCTCTAGGGCAACATACTGTTGTCAACAACAGGCAGTTATCTGCACAATATGTCGAGCTCTAAATCGTCTCGAATCGATATAAAAAGAGTGAATACATTTAACAGAAATGCCTCGTGTAGAGAGAGTGCTAGGATTTCTGCACGTTACAAAAAGAATTTGCAATAACTCTTTGGGGTCGATAGGTGGTATGTTGCAAAGCTTAATTTCTGTCCCTATCCAATATATTCTCATTTTCTTGTGGCATTCCAAATTTGCCGTCTTTATCTCGGTCAACCCCTACGCTGCAGGACCTTCCTATTGTATTCATCGTTAATTTGTTCTCGTTTTGAACATGCATGGAATATTTGCCACAGGGCATAAAGCAATCAAAAATATTGATCATAAGAGAGGTTAATAAATTTACCAACCTTTGAATTCTTACAACGTCCAAAAGTTTCATATATTGATGACGTTTACTGACCAATTTAATCAGTATAAATATATTATTTATACTGCACAGCTCGGGACTCGTTGACCATAACTTTTAACGTTGTTCGGGTCAACTATGACCACATAAGCTGCGAACGGAATACACCATATTTTGCAATGTTTATTGCAAGACTACAAATGCTGTATCTTCTACAGGGTAAATGTGGTAAACAGTATGTTGGTGAGTTAGAACAGCTTTTTCACAAACGTATGAACGGGCATCGTAGTGACTATGAATGCAAGCCAACCTTCCTCTCAGTCGACATTTGAGATCCCCAGGCCACACTAAGGCAGATCTCAATCGACTGACTATTACCATCATAGACTACAACACTGATTGGTCTAGAGATGACAGACTCACGCAGCAAAGATTTTGGATAAGAAAATTAAACTCTTTGGTACCAAATGAGGTCAATGAAAAGGTGTAGTTCTAATCGCGCAATGCTTTTCATTTGGATTGTATTACTACGCAGTCTCTGTTGTAATTCCTTTACAAAAAATCTGGAGCTGTGGACAGTAATTTATGCTTTTCAGTAATATTTTCCAAATTTTGTTCCCTTCTATCTTGAAACCAATCATACCAAAAATCAAAAAAAGTAAAATACACAAATACGTATCAGTACTCATTGTTTAAATATAGAGCGGGGTAGATATAATTAACCCAAAATTCCAAGAGATGAACGTTTTTGCAAATTCTGCACTGACGTAGAGACAGAAGAACATTTTTTGATATCTTGTCATAAATATAAAGATAGAAGGCAATCTTTTTTCCAATCTTATGGTTTAGTTTTAAAAGATTCACATAATGATTATTTTTCAGTTTCTAAACTTTTAAATCCACAAAATATTAATGAATGTAATTGTTTATACAAATTTATTAGAGATGCATTAGAAATAAGAAACAATTCTTAAAATTATGTGTACAATTGTATTATTATATACTACATGTAAAACTTTGAAATGCTGTTTTGTATATTATCATATGATTTGTAATGTAGAACAATCAGTCCGTTTTATTATGCACAAGCACTTAGTCCTGGAAATATATACAGATAAAAATGTAAAAATAGAGATTAGAAGTTCTGAATGTAAATGTTGTAACGTGCTGAATATGTGAAGCCAATTGCTTTATGAAAACACAAAATACAAAAATACTTGGATGTCCTGAATAAAATTGCTCATTGTTGTAAGCATGGAATGATTCCGGGATGGTTGTGGTACGCCTGGATTCTGCTGACGATAGTGACGCCCAAAGACTTGGAGGAAATAGGGAATCTGGTGAAATATCTTTTCAGTTATTTACAATGCATCGCCGTGAAATATCCCCTGACTTATGTGTTCTGTCGATACAGAAATTAAATCCATCGCACACTAATCCCTAAATGCGCGTCCACTAATGTCATATAAGTTATCGTTAATAAAGAATGTAAATCTGTTAATTGTTTATTTCAAACTTATTGTAATTTGGATATACGTTTTACTATGTTATAAATCAAATATGAGAATTTGAGTCATTGACAAGTCGGTGAACATGAATTTTACAGCTAATGCCCCTTTAATGTTTCCTGTTTTTGATATTAGTGTTGTTTTGTACACTTTTTTATGCGTTTATACAATTTATTTATTGTGTACAGGTCTCAGATACAGGTATCTTTACTTGCGACGATGCAGCGCCCTCGTAAGAAAGATCGTTGATGAATTTCTATGCGAATATTACTACTGTAGAATAAAGGACGATGGGAGAAGCTGTGTTTGTTTACGTTTAGAAAATACAAAATAATTGATTTGAATGAATTTTTTAACACAATTTCATAAGAATATGACTTTGCAATGTACAATAATATGAGTAAAGTCCAAAAATATATTATTAAAGCAACAGAATATAGAATAAAGTTATTGAAGGCGATTCATTTTGACATTTGGTGCGATGCATTATCACTGGAAGTGCGATCATTTCTGATGAGGAATTTTTTAAGGTGCGATGGATTTTCATTGTTGTTTTATGTGATAATTGGACATGCTAAAATTGACAGTATTCATTTAATTAATTAAATATTGATGATATTTACAATTTAAAAATCCAAACTTATCTTACATGCTAAACCACCATTGGGTCTTTGCATCGGAAATAAACACATTTATTCTAAAACCAGTTGGCATGATACGGGTTATGTTCTTCTCATATATTTTATGATGGTATGTTACTAAACCCCAAATGGAAGGGATAGTGCTTGATTTTCATATGATGAAGATATGATCTTACAATCAGTTTAATTGAGGTCTGGAGCTGGCATGTCAGTAACTGCCAGTAGTCCTTTGTTAATTTATGTATCATTGTCATTTTGCTTAGTTTCTTCTGTTACCTATTCTAACATCGGACTCGGACTTCTTTTAAACTGAATTTTACTGTGCGTATTGCTGTGTGTTTGTTTATTCTACATTGGCTAGATGTATAGGGGAGGGTTGAGATCTCACAAAACATGTTTAACCCCGCCGCATTTTAGCGCCTGTCCCAAGTCAGGAGCATCTGGCCTTTGTTAGTCTTGTATGTTTTTTTTTAATTTTAGTTCATTTATATGTTTCGGAGTTTAGTGTGACGTCCATTTTCACTTAACTATAAATAAGACGACGTGGTATGAGTGCCAATGCGACAACTATCCATCCAAGTCACTATGTGTAAAAAGTAAACAATTATAGGTCAAAGAACGGCCTTCAACACAAAGCCTTGGCTCACACCGAACAGCAAGCTATAAAGGGCCTCAAAAAGACTAGTGTAACACAATTCAAACAGGAAAACCAACGGTCTAATCTATATAAAAAAACGAGAAACGAGAAACACTTATGAACCACACCAACAAACAACAACCACTGAACAACAGGCTCCTGACTTAGGACAGGTGCATAACAATGCAGCGGGTTTAAACGTTTTATCAGGCGCCAACCTTCACCCTACCCTGAAACAGTGGTGTAACATTACAACATAAAAAGACACACAATAAAGTATCAATTGAAATGGCTTAACTTGATCAAAAAGATAATACACAAAAACAAGTAAATATACACTAAACGAATAAGTTTGATCTATGACACAATATACATGTGTAAATAAAAAAGATGTTTCAATGTCAAAAAGACAACTTTAACCTAGGACAAAATGCCGTTAAAAAAAGTAACGTACACAGGTAAATTTAAGTATAGTAGTACACATTTTTGTTTAGGGTCCAGCTGAAGCCCGCCTGCGGTCGCGGGATTTTCTCGCTGTGTTGAAGACCAATTTCAGGCCTTGGGCTGTTTTCTGCTCTTTGGTCGGGTTGTTGTCTCTTTGACACATTCCCCATTTCCATTTTCAATTTTGTTACTAACATTGGTCACAAAAATTCGCTTAAAATGCTTCAAAAATGCAAAAATTAAATAACTTTAACTAACAACTGATATATGTGCAGGTTAGTGAGCGTATCTTCCTCCAGAATATACCCCACATACCTAGTTCATTGTAATTATTATGATTTTCTTTAAAAAAGTCATCAGTTTATGACATTTTTTATACTGTACTGTTCATTGTGCCTTTTCGTAACAGTACTGTTTCTTCCATTGCTAAATATACCAAGAAGAAAATATGTTGTCTCCTTTGAAATA